TGGAGCAGGTTGGCATTCTTGCCTCGTGTTCTAGAAGTGCAGTGCTTCAACAAAGTGTATTTGCAGTTAGTTGTTGAGGTGAGTTTTATCCTATGGCCTCTAAATTGTGCAACTAACTAGCAGACCACCACGAAACCTAGAGCCTAGTTTGTGGAATTCCGTGGGAAGAGCTTAGGCCATGTGTTCATGTTAAAACTTTATTGCTTCCTGTTTGTGGCTGTGCCTCTCTGTCTCAAGTTAATTTTCTTTCATTCTCCTATACTTCCAGTAGATGTTGTCTTGCTGTGTTTGTGTCTTTGTAAGTACGAAAGAATAAGGCAAGAACTGAAAGGAACCCTTCTGGGTGTCCTTGCTAGGGTGGCCATTTGTCGCACTTCTGCTGAGTTGGCATAAGGTAAATTCTCTTTTCTCCTTCAGCCTGAAGGTGGATGCATGAAGAGACAGCTGCACGGACTGTCTTCTTGGAAAAGATACATCAGGTCCAGCAGCCCAACATTGGCCCCTGGACTGCTTTGGTGTGCAATTGAGGAGGATGACTCCTGTGAGTGATGGGGGCTCAACACAGAGCGTCTTTGACCTGGACTATGCTTCCTGGAAGATTCGCTCGACGCTGGCAGTCGCAGGCTTTGTCTTCTACCTGGGCGTCTTTGTAGTCTGCCATCAGCTCTCATCCTCACTGAATGCCACCTATCGTTCTCTGGCAGCCAGAGAGAAGGTCTTCTGGGACCTGGCAGCCACACGTGCCGTCTTTGGTGTCCAGAGCACAGCTGCAGGCCTGTGGGCTCTGCTGGGGGACTCAGTGCTGCAAGCTGACAAGGCGCTCGGCCAACAGAGCTGGTGCTGGTTTCATATCACCACAGCCACCGGCTTCTTCTTCTTTGAAAATGTGGCTGTCCACCTTTCCAACCTGTTCTTCCAGACTTTTGACTTGTTTTTGGTTGTCCACCACCTCTTTGCCTTTCTTGGATTCCTTGGCTCTGCTGCCAATCTCAGAGCTGGCCACTATCTCGCCATGACCACGTTGCTCCTGGAGATGAGTACCCCCTTTACCTGCATTTCTTGGATGCTCCTCAAGGTGAGTGCCCCCATGGAGGCAGGCCCAGCAGCTGCGTGGAGCAGGCACTTGTGCAGGTGCTGCTGGTGCATTGGGCCTGCCAGAATTCACCAGCAGCTGATTGCAGCCTGCCCAGTATCATTCCTTAACTCTGAGCCTCTAGGCACCTGCTCCTGAAGTTCAGTGGGTCTGGGGAATCAGTGGACAGAGTGCGTGTCCTAGAAAACATTACTTTTTTTTTCTCAGTACTTAAAAAATAGTTGTGGTGGCTCACTCCTATAATCATAGCTAATCAGGAGGCAGAGATCAGGAGGATCACAGCTCAAAGCCAGCCCAGGCAAATAGTTCCCGAGACCCTATCTCAAAAAACCCCTCACAAAAATAGGGCTGGTGGAGTGGCTCAAGGTGCAGTCTGTGAGCTCAAACCCCAGTACCACAAAAAAAAAAAAAAAGTTAAGTGATGTGTATGTATACACACCTAACTTTTGGCATTTTAACTTTGATAAGTGCTGTTGGCCAGCACACCCACTCACCCTCGTTCACTGGCCACATGCAGGTGGCCTTGCCATGCTCCTCTCAGGTCACACAGGTCCCCAGCCACCTGTTTTACTGGTGACCAAAAGTGCTGGCACCTAACATAGTGACTTGTCTAGTACTTCTCTTTTGGGTTTGAAATGTTTTTTAATGTTTATCTTCCATACAGGATCATGATTCTCACTTTGATGTCAAAATGCCCTTCATGTTACACTTTTTATAAAAAGTGTTTTTAGCATTGATCCTTGCTGTCTTTTATGACACATTGCATTGTCCAAATAGTTTGTGTTATTCAGCACTCCTCACAGAGCACTGCTAGGCTTTGGGAAGGAAGTGATCATAAAATGTCATCCCTGCCTTTGGGTCCTAGCTGGATGTATGGTGGGAGTCCATCACGTGCAAGTTAGCAGCAAAACAGCATTTGTGGAGCACCAGCTGTGTCTCTGTGGCTGTCACTGCCAGGACCTGGGATCCCAGGCTGCTCCACTGTGGTTCAGAGTAGAATGTGTAAGGAGCCACAAGGCCCGTCTGAGCTGTGGCCAGTGATCAAGAGCCAGTGAGCTGGGCACCCTCGTAACCATCACAGGGTGTCACAGGGTAGCCACAGAAAATAAAAGGTGCCCACAGCAGTTCAGTGAGGAATCAGAGAGATTTGTGTGTGAGAGTTGGGTGCTGTGAGGTGTTTGGGCAGGAGTGATTTGGGGAGACCTTACCAGATATGTTACTTTTGTGTCGCTGTGACCAAAGTACCTGAGAAAACAACTTAAGGGAGGAAAGTTTATTTTAGCTAAGGCTTCTGGAGGTTTCAGTCCATTATGGTAGGGAGGGTGTGGTGAAGCTCAGCAGCTCACATCATGGCAGACTGGAAGCAGAGGAGACTGGGGACCAGATAATTGCCTTCAAAGACTCGCCCCCAGTGGCCTGTTTCCTTCAGCGAGGCCCCACTCCCTGCAGTTTCTACCACCTCCCAAAATAGCCACCAGTGAGGGCAAGGCGTTGGACATGTTTTTTTATGATATGAATGCAAGAGCAGCATTTCCTTCTTTTGGTGACTTCAGAAGTTGGTTCCCTATTCTCAGGGAGGTGAAGAGACAGCTACATAACCATCCTTGCCCGAGATCCCGATGACCCTGTCTGCCATGTGCCCGTCCCTGCCTCCTGTCCTGATTTAGACTGCCCTGTGTCCAGTGTTCTGGTCCCCAACCATTCAGTTTCCTTCTGCACATGCAGAGCAGCAGTGTCCTGTTGTAGAAGCAGCTGCCTCCATAGTCTGCAGCTCAGGATGGCAGTTGGAAGATGTCAGAGAAACTGATGCCAGGCAGTGCCTTGGCCTGCTGGGGACAGCCTGGCTTGGCCACCCTTGTGTCCGTGACCTGAGGCATCGTGTAGCTGTTCCATTTTACCTACGACTACTACTCGTTCAGTGCAAATTTAGCCTAATTTTAAGGCAGCTGTGACCTCCATCCAAGACCTTCTGGCATAAAAGTGCTCTAAAGCAGAACACACATTCCATCCTAAATCCACCTCTTGTGAGAGTCTCCTCCAAGGGTCTGGGAATGTGAGCTCAGCTCGCATGTGTCTTCTGCTCTTGTTAGGAAAGTAGAGCCTGTTTGCTCATATGTGCAAATTCTATATAAAAATGTTGGGAAGGATTACATTTGCAGGACTGACAGGTGCCCACGAGGCTCAAGGCTAGCTGGCTGCTGGCTCAGGCAGTCCTCACAGTTAAGCCAGGGAGAGCAAGGCCAGTGAGTCTGTTGCTTTGAGGCCAGCATAGGGTTGGTGAAGGGTGCAGATGCCTCCTGGGATGTGAGGATGGGTTGCATTCCGCACTGAGCTCTCACCTGCTCTATCCCCGCAGGCCGGCTGCTCTGCCACTCTGCTCTGGAAGCTCAACCAGTGGGTGATGATTCACATGTTTCACTGCCGCATGGTCCTCACCTACCACATGTGGTGGGTGTGTTTCTGGCACTGGGACAGCCTGATCAGCAGCCTGTACCTGCCTCACTTTGCATTGTTCCTTGTTGGGTTGGCTCTGCTCACACTACTTCTTAATCCCTATTGGACCCACAAGAAGACCCAGCAGCTTCTGAATCCGGTAGATTGGAACTTTGCACAGCCAGAGCCCAAGAGCAGCCGACCAGAAAGGACCAATGGCCAGGTGCTGCAGAAGAAGAGGCTGTAGTGCCTGGGGACATGGACAGTGATGCCAGCAGAGGAGGACACCCTGCGAAGCTCTGCAAATAGTGATTGTTTTAAAAATAAGGTAGTGAATGGGCACAGACCCAAGCGAATACTAACTCTGTTTACTGGTGTTAACTCTCAAGCAGCCACAAAGTATTATCCAGACCTGATTCACCCTTAGGAGCAGATCTCTGTCTAGATTTCCTTGACAGTCAGTGTAGCATGGGGAGGCTGTCTGAAACTTGAAGGGACTTCACAAGGAAGTGCCCCATCGGGTGTGGTCGACTCTGTGTGTCTTATTCAGAAGTCATGTTCTTTTTAGATGGAAAGGGTTAACCTAAGAAAATAATGTGATTTCTTTTTTTTTTTTAACCCTTGTCAAAACCTCCCAGCATATGGACTGTTAAACCCGGTGTGCAGCAGTGCCATCTAGTGGCACCCAAGGTAGCAGCAGCCTCAGGAGCAGAGCCCCTTGGAGCTTGCCCACCTTGATGTGGGCGTGGACCTGAAATCTTACGCTTTTTTAAAATGAAGGGACCTATTTTAAAAAGAGGAAGTTTTATTGACATTTTACTGTTTAGTTGACAAAAATGCTTAGCAATCATCTTAATCCAGGTTTTAGAGCCATTTTTAATTGAGTTGCCCAGGGGTGCCCAGACTAGATCCCAATTCCTCAGTTGGTGTTTCTCTGTAGACTTCATTGAAAGGCAGTGGTGACTTTCCCAACGAGCTTCGAGTGGTCCTGGATCCAGAGATGCTTAGAACAGACCTCCGGCAGCCCTGGTCGGCCACTACCTGGTGACGGGCCCCGTGACGCTCTTTTCATTGCATTGGGCTGGGTAGAATTATGCATCAACTTAGCAGTGGTAGTGGAGACATGCAAAAGTCCTATTTACTGTTTCAATTGAAATTCAAAGTTTATTTTTATTAGAAGCACTTTTGGAAAAGTGTTTGCTGAAACATGTTTTATTGCTCCCAGAATCGTGTGACTTGTACTGCTGTGTCTCCTGGAGCTCTCAGAAGGGCACATTTTGATTACTAGTGCTTTAACTTTATTGATTACAATTAGATCAAGATGTATAGTACTCATTTATCTCATTCTTAGAAGTTATTTAAACTGTGTCCTCTGAGATTATCAGCTGAAAGCCCCATGGTCCTGAAGAGCTCCGAAGAGCACTTCCTGTGGAATCAGCAGCAGCTGGTGGTTTTCAGCTGGGCAGGGGTTTAATAAAGTGACTGCTGTTTACAGAACCCGACGGATATCATTTCCTGTCTCCTAAATTTACCTACCCGGTCATATCCCTGGGAGTGCATTAGGTCTTGGAAAAACAAAATGTGATCTTAAATCTTTATGTGTCAAATTGCAGTCTGCAGAGTTGAGTTGATTTCATCTGAGCTTTGCTAGGACCTTGGCTCCCTGGAGGTTCATGCTTTACATCCTATTTCTTAGTGGCCATGTGATCTGTCTACAGAGGCTGGGTGCCATTCAGTATCTCAGTCAGTCCACTCTGTCAGACCATGAGCCTCTGTGAGGAGCGTGGAGACAGCGTGTGGGGTGAGAAGGCTTTGGGGACATGTAATCCAATGGCTTGTGCCTCTGTTGCCTGAGACTGGCACAGCCCCTCTCATGTCTCTGTGTGCCACCATCACTCCTCACCAGCCATGTGAGTGGATGTGTCTTGGAGTGGGACACAGTGCAGGTGGTGCTGAGCCAGGTGGGAGCCTGGCCACTATTCAGCTACAGGTGTGTCCCATGAGACTCACACATCCTATTACAAGTCAGAGTGGCAGTTGGGCGCCCGTGGCTCAAACCTGTAATCCCAGCTACTCAGGAGGCAGAGATCAAAGGATTGCGGTTGGAAGCCAACCCAGGCAAATAGTTCACAAGACTCTATCTTGACAAAACCCTTTACAGAAAAAGAGCTGGTAGAGTGGCTCAAGGTGTAGGCCCTGAGTTCAAACCCCAGTACCACAACATTAAAAAAGAAGTTAAAGTGGTTCAATGGTAGAGTGCTTGCCTAGCGTGCATGAGATCCTGGGTTTGATACCCAGCACTGCAAGAAAGGAGTCAGAGCAAATGTTGGTGATAGAGCTCATCTGACAGTCAGGAGCTCTGGCATCACTTGGGAAGTTGGACGAGAGGCAGTGTTTGGCCTTGCTTACCCCTCTGATGACAGGTATCTAATGTAGAAATCAGCTCTGCCCCAGCCAGTCACAGGCTCTCCAGCCTGACCCAGGTGCAGTAACTTGGCACAGCACTTTCTGTTTTGGGTAGAGAAATATTCTCTGTAGTACTCATGTTTTTTTCAAAATTGGAAAATAAAATGAACTTAGTTGAGTAACTGGAAGCAGTGGGACAGAATGCCTTTTATTTGGCCCCCTTTAATTTAGCACCAAACCTATTGCAGGTCTAGTACCCCTCAGACTCTCCAAAGTATTGCCAGAGTTGCTACAACACAGCTAGTGACAGAGGCTGCTGGCGTTCATTTTTGCAAGGCATGGTGCCAGGTGACTTACAACATCCCATCTTTGTACGAACAGCTCTGTGCAGCAGGCCCATTGCTTCCACTGTGCAGCTGGGGAAGCTCAAGACTGGAGGAGGTGGCGATTGCTGGCAGCAGCAGCTAGCCAGGGACCAGACCTACAGGGCTCTTAGGGATGCACTGACCCCAGCACCGCAGAAAACAAAAACTTGTAGTCTTAAACATAGCCTGTGCTGACCTGACGACGCCTCTGTCTCAGTCCACCATGCTGGTGTGACAAGAGCTGACTGGGTCCCTGATGAAGAGCAGAGGTTGACTGCCCTAGGTCTGGAGGCCAAAAGTCCAAGGTCAAGGTGGCGGTGGGTTCAGGGTGTCAGGGAGGGGCCCAGCCTCTCCTTACAGATGGTGTTGCTGCATCCTTGGGAGGGAGAAGCACTGCATTCTCACATGATGGAAGTGACAGAGGGATGGATGAGGCTAGAAGAGCCCTTCCTGCACCAGTCAATTTCATGAGCTCTGCCTTTTTCCCTGACTTAAGTCCAGGTGCCTGTCATGCCCGGTGTGGGGCAGCTGCTCACCAAGTGGTGAGTTAATGAGCAGGTGAGTGGTGTCATGTGTCTGCCAGAAAACAGGCAAACCCAAGGGGGCAATGGAAGACATATGTCAAGGGCATATTAAATAAGGAGGCAGAGTGAGGAGGCTGGGAAACAGCTCCACCCCACACACAGCGCCTGGTCGGGTGGCCATAGGCAACACTCTACAGAGAATGGTGGTCTGAGAACTGCCCCACCCAGAGGGGGACTGGGGACAGACCTTGGCAAGCAGGAGAACTGTGTAGGGTCCATAGGATCATCCTCTCCTTTCTCACTAGTAGTGTGGACGCCAGTGAGTCTCTGACCTGTGAACTGATGGCCTACTCACATTTCTTCTGTTGAATATGCCCTAAATGTTTTACAGACTGAAAGCCTTGTGTTTGTGGCACTGCATGAACCCTGTCACTGCCTTTGTGACCAATTGACAGACTTCACCATGTCATCAGGTCTGCTCGACTTCACCTGCCATCACACAGTGTTATGGGTTGCACTTGTAGCCCGTGTTCAGCCACAGTGGCACAGGGCTGGAGAAGCTGGTCAGAAGTGCCTTCAGCTACATGGGATCCCACTGTGGCCTTCACAGGACAGACAGGATGCTCACTTCACCCCACATGCCCAGGTGGGAGGGTAGTACAGAGTCGAGGCTTTCCCTGGCCAGGGGCTCCCTGGAGCTGCCTGCTGTACCTCAAGGTGCCTGAAAGGCAGTGACCCTGGGGACCAGGCACAGATGCCTGAGATTGGGCTAGGTGGCAAGAACTCTGGGAACAGAATGCCAGGGAGCTCCCCCTGCTGCTTCCATCTTTTCTTCTGAAAACCAGGTGTCTAGTTTCGTGCCTCAGGCCTTGCTCTGCATGTTCAGGTGGCCCATGGCCTGGGTGACCTGACTGCCGAGGGTCTGTGCTCAAGAACGGGGTGGAGAAGGAGGATGGAGCCCGACCCAGGAGCCCTGCTCAGTGCCCCTCGGGCTGCATGATCTCGACTCACCTGAGAGTAAACAGAAGGCAACCAGCCTGCCCTGAATGCTTATCTGTCCATTTTGCTCTAATGGGAGAACATAGTAATTCAATGTTTCTCTTACTGAAAGAGAAAATTTCCCCGTTTACAGAAACTAACATGTACTATGCACATTATTATTTAGTAACCGAAATCTACTTGCCTAGTCACATTTCAAACCCAGTGATGTGACAAATTCAAAAATCTCTTACTTGCTTTTTTCCGATGACTCAACTCCACGTTGAGTGTCTGGTTGACTACATTGCGCGTCTGGGGACTGGCAGCCTTCCCTGCCTCATAGCCTGAGCCGGGTCCACAGGAAAGGACCCCACCCTTCCTCCTGGAGAGCCGGACGTCTGTGGCCCTGTAGACAGGGCTGAGAGCTCGGTGGCCAGGATGTGAATGTGCTTGTCTTCCCCCCAGCGAGTCCTCACGCTCCTGCACTGCACGGGTTTCTCGGTACTCCCAGTCATCCTCAGCCTTGAGTTTCCTGCTAACTTGCCATTTATCCCTGAAACCCCAAGTCAGTCCAAGGATTCCAGAAATTAACCCGTGTCTAAAGCCTCAGTCATTACAGTCATTAAACTTCAAGTCTTCGGATCTGAACAGTCCCCACCCTCAGTTTACAGTCCCTGTAACTGTCACAGTTCACGGTGTTTTTCAGAAGTACCACAGGACACACAAAATCCCAGTTAGAACACAGAACCTCCCAGCCAAAGCTTTTGCTGTCTCAAGGGACTTCGGGTACTCACTCCCTCTCCACAGACACAAACTCGGAGGGCGAGGGTGGTGGGGTGCAGGGAGCTCGTGTGCAGATGCGGAGCTGGGGAGTGGCGCCACCTCCCCCCTCCTTCCCCCCCCCACCCAACATGAATTTTTCTGTTAGCTCATGATTGTCTCAAGTGCAAAGAACAAGGCTGCTAAAAAAGTGAAGCTTGGGGAACTCCTTCACCTGAAATGGCTTTTCATTAGTTTGGAGCTAGTTATGGGTACTGTAGTTTTGTTCCGCCACCATGAGCCCCGGTCTGTTCAGCTGGCTGTGGTGTCCTGTCTCCCTGGCAACCCTGTCATGTTGAGGTGCTCTCCAGCCAAAGGAAGGCCAGCCTGGACACCAGAAGCCTCCCCGCTTTCCTGCCTCCTTTTGGTCCATATGCAGTCATGCTGTCTGCAGGGTCACCTGCTCCTGTCACCATGGGGACAGACATGAGGCCCAAGGATGGGGTGGGAACAGAGATGTAGCCTGTGCACTTGTCCTGAGCAAAGCAGACTGAGCGAGAGTGTGGAGGCTCTGTCCTGCCCTAGCTGCCCCCTCAGAAGGCCACGGGACGAGCGTGGTTACCAAATGCCTCTGTGGAGAGGCCTGATCTCGGAAGCCAAGGCCCTGAGTTAGTGTTAAAGTGAGCTGTTCTGTCCTTCCTGCTTGTTGGCTGGGCACTCTACTGCTGGAGCCATGTCCCAAGACTTTTCGTGATTTTAGTTATTTTTCAAGTAGGGGCTCATGTTTTTGTCTGGGGTCAACAGACCAAAATCCTACCTATGGCCTCATGTGGGATCACAGGAGTGTATCACCATGCCAGGTTTATTGACTGAGATGGGGTGTCTCACTAACTTTTTGCCCAGGCTGGCCTCAAGCCATGATCCTCACACTCTTTGCCTCCTACATAGCTGGGATTACAGGTGTGAGTCACACATCTAATCCTCGGGAAGGCGTTTGGTTCATTGATTTTTTGCTTATATTCAGTTGTGGGATTTTTGCCAACACGTGTTTATTTCATGCTTATAAAAGTCAAACTATTTAAAAAACTATGCTCAGAGAAATGTCACACCCTCCTGTTTCCTGCACAGCTTTTTTGAACAGCAATTCACATACTATACAATTCATCCATGCAAAGTTTTAGTGTTCAAATAACTGAAAGTGTCACCACAATCAGCTTTCACACATTTTCACCAACTCCAGAGGTTGAAGTCATGACCCTGCTGGGACAGAGTTAGGAGGTGGGGCCTTTGGGGTCAGATGAGGTCACAGGGTGGCCCAGGATGGGACTGAAGTTCTCCTGAGTGCTCTCTCCTGAAAACCAGAAAATGAATGGCCTGTGCCTGGGTCTCAAGCCTCAGCCTGGATCTTGCTTTTTTTTTGGGGGGGGGGTACTGGGGTTTG